TCATTCTTAGGGTTCTCAGGAAATGAGACTTAACAGTGCTAAAACCAGGACAAGTAATAACCCTATCCTTGATGGAAAGTCATCCTAGAAATAAACCTGTAAGACTAAAATTCCAGTACATAAACATAAAAATCATGGTGTTCATAGTTGATTAAGTTATCACAAGCCTTTAAAAATAATCAGTTTTCTAGAACAGGATTTATTTGATTCTGGTGGGAACTCACTAAATAATTGGGACTGTTGTTGAATAGAATGTAAATTTGCACTTCTCGGGGGTTTTCTACAGGAATAGATGCTGTGTTATCCTACGTAATGTTGTAAGTGGCTATACCATTAAAAGTGCCAAATGCCCTTATTTCCAAACCAGTGTGAAGTTAACATTTTTTTTTCAGTTAAGATGGTTGCATGGTTATTCTATCAAATGAGTACAAGGCTAGCCCTAAGTATATCTTTTTACATGAATACCTACATCTTGAAATTCTGAGCAAAGGACTTTGTAAAAAATTTTTATTCAGCCTGTATTTTCATTTATAGCAGTTAAAGCTTTGGTTTTTATCTGTGTGTTCCATGAGTGCAGGTAATGCTCATGGAGATTCTAAATGTGTTGCTATTGTCCCCCATTGTTTAGTAATATTAAAATTCATTTCAGTCCTCAAATGTTTCCAGTTCTAATTCTGTAAACCTTAGATTTACAAGTATTCATTAAAGGTGTTAATTTTGAATGTTCTTTCATGGACATATATGTCCAGATAGGGTTTTAATGTAAGCAAAAAAGTTAAGCTTACCCTACTGTGTGAAAGTTTATCCTAAAATTGTTGAACAGAGACCAAAGTATAAAAGTTCTGTTTATCAAAATGCTATTTTCTTTTTCCTTGGCAAATTCATCAAGCTTAGTTATTTGTCATTTCTACTTATTTTTTTTTTTATTTACAAATTTTTATTGATTTTTAGAGATAGAGGTAGGGAGAGGGGGAGAGAGTCATCATTATGAGAGAGTAACATCGATTGGCTGCCTCCTGCATACTCTGTACTAGGGATTGAATCTGAAACTTGGGTATGTGCCCTGACCGGGAATTGAGCCAGCAACCCTTTGGTACAGATAATGCCCAACCGAGCCACATTGGCCAGGGCTATTTGTCATTTAAATTGTCCTTATAATATTCACCGCTTTAGCATATACTCTATGGCAGAGATTTTCAACTGGTGTGCCACAAGAATTTTTAAAACATGTAATACCTGACTATTTAGTCAGGAGCACTGACCTCTTCTCCCTTAGATTAAAAAAAAAAAAAGGAAAAAAGACAACAGCCAGCACAATAGCTATCCCAGAGTGAATAAATCAAAAATATACTTATTTTGTTGGTCAGATCAGCAATATATATTTTTTGGAGTGTGCCACAGAACCTTAGTAATTAACTTTATGTGTGCCATGAGATGAAAATCACTGCTCTAGGGGAAAGTCCTTTTTTCAAACCTCAGAAAACAATCCTTTTTCTCTTTGAATGGCATTGCTTTTTGAATTATTAGACACAAATTAATTCAGTCAGTCTTGGGAAATGGAAGAACAGAAAAATTAGATGTGGCAGTCTTGTTAAATCACTATTTCTTTCTCGTAGTTTTTCATGGTGTGGAAATTCGATTTAAGTTATAGCTGACTTTAAATTTTTATATTTGGAGCAGGAAGAGCAAGATCTGGATCAACAGGGAAACGAGGTATGATTTTGTCGGGATCCCTTCCTCTCACAACATTCTGACTGCACGTCAGCTCCCAGAACGTTTGACACAATTAAAACTGAAAAAGCTACGACAAGGCTCTAGTCAGACACTCTGGGTTTGAATCCCAACTTTGCTGTATATAATTGCAAACTTGGAAACATAATCTTTGTGCCTGTTCCATCATCTGAAGAATGGGGAGGATAATTGTCCCTACTAGGAGAGAGCTGTTTTGAGAAGCTGTTAATAAGATATCGTATGTAAAACATTTAGAAGAGCTCATGGCACATAGTACCAAGCATTTTGTCTCTACATTTACTCATATTAAAAAAATATGGGCAGTCTTATAGGCAGCCACCAAATGGGAAACTCTAAGCCCTAAGAGTTCTTAGGAAAAGGTCAGAGAGAAGGTCTAGCCCTGAAATTTTCCACTTCGGCACTTGGAATACTTGGGGATGGACAATTCTGTTGTAGCTGTCCCATCCTTGGTCTTTACACCGCCCCCCCACCCCCAACACACACATACACACTCACACACATACCTCTCCCCCATTTGTGACCACCAAAAATGTCTCCAGACATTTTCCAATGTGTCCTGGGAGCAAAACCCCCTGGTTGAGAACTACTGGTCTAGCCAAAGGATCAGTCCCATTGCCATGCAATGGATTTCAATCCATTTGCGGACATTGTCATGTTTCATTTTAACCCATAGTAGTTTTCCACAACTCCAGTAACACCCAGCAAGTTTTTTTTCTCCCTTTCTCTTAAATGGATTATGAGTGCTGTTTTGAAAATAATTGTTCTAATTCCTCATTATGCTAGGAAAAATGATAGTCAAGAATATATATTTAAATACCAATTGGTTGTAAGCTCTTCAGAGCTATAAAGTAGAGCTTACGACTATCAGAAAAGGATAAAAATAATACTATTTTGACAGGTTTTAGAATTTTTCTTTTTTAGAACTGATGTGAATTACTTTAATAATTGTTTTCCCTTTTTAGGAAAATCTGTTTGACTCTTTGACGGGGCAGCCACATACTGAAGATGTACTACTGTTTGCCATTCCAATATGTGCCCCTTACACCACCATGACAAACTATAAGTAAGTCATCACCATTTACCTAAAGCAGCTGTCAACAGTGATTTATAAGTTGTTTGTAATATCTGTTTATTAACATATACAATTCCTCTTTAAAGATACAAAGTGAAACTTACTCCTGGAGTTCAGAAAAAGGGAAAAGGTATTTAAAACTTTTTTGAATTGTCATTTTAAATATTTCTTGACTGAACAGAACTAGATTCTTCTAATTTCTACTTACAGCTGCAAAAACAGCCTTACACAGTTTCATGCATTCCAAAGAAGCAACAGCAAGAGAAAAAGACTTATTCCGCAGTGTAAAGGTAAGTTATTCCCCTTGAACTTTCTGAAGATTGCAGAACATTCTGAAAATGTCAGCAGTTACTTGCTGTTTTTTTGTTCTTTATTTAATAAGTGCAAGTTGCAGCTACTGTTTTGGCAGAAAATGCTTCCTAGAAGCATTCTCAAATAAGTAGAATCACTTCACATAAAAATTTTAGAAGTGCCTTTCTTTTGATAGCACAGGATACATAAATCGCCATAAAAAGAAATATGATTGACATATAGAATGTGAAAGTATTCGGCAATTCTCTTTTTTTTTTAGGACACGGATTTATCAAGAAACATTCCTGGCAAAGTGAAAGTGTCTGCACCCAATCTTCTAAATATAAGAAGGAAATAGCTGAAATGACATCCTAGAATATATAGAAGAGCCACTTTTATAGTCTTTTGGAAGTTCAAAGATGAAAAACCTATATAATCAGACTTCGGCTTTTAAAAATGAACTAAACATTGCCTTGCTATATTCGCCAAAAGGACTTATTTTATTTCACTTTTATAGAGAGGAGACACTGTCTATGATAGGATTTCCAAAATATTTGTGGACAGTTAAATGCTAATTATAGTTATTCTAAATTTTCTCAAAATTTGTGAGGTTAATAGTATTCATTTCATGTTGTAAAGAAATTGAATAGTGAAATGGCTCACTCAGACTACTGGCTTGGTAGCCTACTGTATAGAATGTCTAATACAGCTATCACTCACAGGCCAATCACAAGTTGTTGGTTTGTTTGTTTTCTGGTGGTGGTGGTTGTGGGGGCAGTTAAACATTTAGAATTGATTCTTGAAAACCCTAAGTATTGAAGGAGTAAGTTTCATTGTCTTATACTCGTCAAAATGTATATTAGACCAGATTTAAAATATAAATAATTCCCATGACTAAGTTTAAGGAATAACACCTTGATGAAATCGGTGTTGAACATTTCCATGCATTTATACACCCTCACTTTTCACCTACTTTCTTGTAATCTCATTCAGTTTTGCACCATTTTATTCCACCTCTAGTAAGTATCAATAGCAAGTTACTGAGTACCTTAACCTATAATGTCAGAAATGCCCTTTTTGGGTTACCAAGAAAGACTAGAGATCCAGCTTTCCTCTGTTTCCTAGCAGAATGGAGAATAAGGTCACACCTTATTCTCCATTCTTTTATGAGCTACCAAACTGCTACTTTTTAAATGATCAGTTAACAGCTACTTATAGTCAACATGACCACTTCCTCCAAACCTCATACCAAAGCATTTAAAGTCAAGTAGTAAACAGCTGTTTGTCCTTCCAGTTATTTACCAGTTATCAGTCTTACTGAGAGTATTTTTCCCTTTGAAATTGATGTTTAAAAAACTTTATAATTATGTAGCCTCATTTTGCAAATACAACAAAATAGACTATTCTTGCCATTAAAAAACATCTAAATTACTTTTTGAAATAGTAACTTCAACTTGGGGATGGTGTAAGTGTATAGATGATGTGTTGTGGAATTGTGCACCTGAGATGTGTATAATATTGTTAACTAGTGACAACCCAATACAATCTCAATAAAAGGGGGGGGAAATAACTTCACCATTTAAGTGGTAAGAATGTTTCTACCGATAGAAATCTTGAAGTTATCAAAAATGAAATATAGCTACCATTCCTTGGAGTAAAGCCCAAGAACTAATTTTCCTTTGATTTAACAGAAGACATTTTTACCGGTGTTAAATACATTTATTGTAAACTTTAGACACAAAAATAGGTTCTTTAGACCATTCACATGCACATTAAAACCAAAAAGCTGCAAAACTACACAATGCATATAACTATGCAAATGATGCCGCTCTGGTGTTCACGGAATTGCTGTCCATGCAAGGTGTGCAGGCATGCTCTATGAAGCCTAAGACCCAGAAGTGTTGTTACTACCAAACCTCTGATGAACACTGTGAAGTAAGTGTTTTGGAAGGCAGTTCCACGAGTTGGCTAACATTTCTTTAAAGCAAATGACTGCTTCTAAGCTTAGCCTGAAAGAACAAGGAAAGAGAAAAATAATTTCATTTTGCTGTTTAGAAGTACCCTCACTTAAAATAAAAAGAAACCATTTTCTTTAAAGGTTTTCATAGAAACTGGTTAGTTGGATCTATGAAACTTGTTAGTACCCTTTTAAATTATCCATAAACCTTGTTTTTCAAGAGCACTATTTTAAAGTATTAAGAAACACAATTTTAAATACTCTAAAGTTCAAAGTAAAAAGCTACTTACCTTACAAGAGATTTTGGTTGAACTGAAAATATGAGTACTTCATTACTGTGTGCCTGAAAAATAGAAAACATTAAAAAGCAAATACTTCACAAATAAGTCTCAGCAATATTATGAAGTCTCCTTTAACATAGATAGTATACTTACAGCTCTGTGATGGACAAGAAGGTTATTGGCACATCCACCAAAAACAATTACTTCTCCTTCATCACTGGCACAAGCTGTATGCCATAATCTACATTCAAAACAAAAGCTTGTGTTTGCAGTCACCCAAAACACCAAGTTGATCATTTATACTACAGAATAGACTGATAAAGACTAGAGATCTTTAGTTCAGACTAAAACATCAGAGTGTGAGAAGCAATTACTGAAAGAAATTGCTATGAAATTTCTAGCATTTTCCAATGCTAGAAAAAAAAGCAATTACTGAAATTGCTATGAAATTTCTAGCATTTTCCAATGCTAGAAAAATCACTGTTTTATTTGGATGTCAGCATTTCCTCTTTGGTCCAGACGTACTCTGCAGTGAGGGGCGTGAACTGACACTGTTCTCTAGATCTTGGGTTAGCAGTGAGATGTGTGGGAGATGTGCAGTATAGCTCTCTTTCACTTCTCAGGCAGGGCCAACTGGCCTTACACAAAACCTGTGAGGGATGCTGAGTCTGCCTCAGGAAACAAAGCATCTGAAGGCCTGGTGATTCTATGGAAAGAATACTTGTGCCAAATGGAGTCTTAGTGGCCTGACTATACTGAGGTTAGAGGCTTAGGAAAAATGCATGTTGACATATCTTAATGTGCTTTGAACACCTAGTTTGACTATCATTTCCTTTCCAGTCTTTGTACAGTTCTTCTGAGGTTAACAACAAAAATAACTGGGTGTTTAATAGACTCCTTTTTCAATGGCTTGACTTCTTACTCTTTGTTATGCAGTGCTATTGAATATCTAATGGAAAGTTCTTGATTTTTTTTCCTGATATACATTAATTAAGGTTTTGAAATTCTCTACTTTCCGGTTCCTTTTTCTTTTTTTTAATAGTAGCCTAGCTGCAGTTCAGTTCACTTAGGTAAAGAACTTGATTATAAATATTAACTATATCAGTAATTTTATGATAAAGGACAAAGTAAAAATCAAAATCCAGTTCTGTTTTTCAGAGATGATGGAAAAGAAAGCATCTGATATTAGGATGAGTTGCGAGTTTTTTTCTTTCAAAAGGCTTATGTTAAACCTTAGTGAATGCTAGGGTATTTATCATTCTGTCTCGTACACCTCTGTGGACCTCTTTAATTTAGTATAACAATTACCTTTTTTAAAAAATATATATATTTTTATTAATTTCAGACAGGAAGAGAGAGAAACATTGATGAGAGAGAACTCATCATCTGCCTCCTGCATGCCTCACATTGGGGACTGAGCCTGCAAGAGAATTACCTTTTAAATAGTTCATACCTTGGTTTGTCAGTGTAGGGGTGATTAAACTGTAGCCATTCATTTTTACTGATACAGTAAGTCCAGGCATCACCTGATTGAAACAAAAAAACTATGAAGTATGTTCTACCAATGTGATATTGATATTTAAAGGAGAGAGCTCTAGCAAGAAAGGTTATCAATCATATTGTGAGTAGATAAGAGAAAGTATATTTCTTTCTATCCTCTGCAATTAACCAAGTAAGCCCTTATATATTAGAGTCCTTCAGTAAGGCTTTTAAGTATTCCAGGGAATTTCTTTACAGAATTGGATGTATGTCTTACTATGAAAACAATAAGATTATGTTATAGGGTCAAAATTAATAGTAAATCTTCCAACTGACCCTATTGCCTTAATATATCCAAATAGACTATTTTTTCCAACTAAATATATATGATAAATGAATGATAATTTATCTTTTTTTTTTTTAAAGAAGGCAGTTGAGAGAGGTGGTTTTAAATGATTTTTTTAAATTGATTTCAGAGAGAGGAAGGAAGAGGGAGAGAAAAAGATATTAACATCAATTCCTCCTGCATGCTCTCTACTGGAGATTGAGCCCACAACCTGGGCATGTGAAATGACCAGGAATCAAACTATGACCTCCTTATTCATGGGTCAATGCTCAACCACTGAGACATACCAGCTGGGCTCTTTTTTTTTTCTTTCTTTCTTTTTTAATTTTTATTGATTTCAGAGAGAAAGGGAGAAACATCAATGATGAGAATCATTGATTGGCTGCCTCCTGCATGCTCCCCACTGGGCCTCTAGCTACCCAGGCATGTGCCCTTGACCAGAATCAAACCTGGGAACCTTCAGTCCACAGGCCCTATCCACTGAGCCAAACTGGCTAGGGCTGGACTCATATTTTTAAACAACTTACTTAGTGGCTGTTTATCAGTGGTAAATCCTCCAAAGAGAAAGAGATGATCTGAAGAAACTGGTGTCAGTGAGTGCCAAGATCGGCCAACTGGGCACATGCCTTGTGGGATTCTGAAAATAATAGCTAAGTTATAATATGGACTTCTAAAAGTAAATAAATATTGAAGTTTTCTTTCAAAATGTATATTGGATTAAAGAAAAAAGTGACTTTAAATTTAAAAAGGCTTTCTGGTATTAACTTCATGCTTTAGAATGAACTTTTTATTTTGATGGTCAACTTTAGACCTTTCCTTTTCAACAAACATTGAGCACATACTATATGCCAGGCACACAGTTAATGGGAACTGGAAATACAGAAAATTTAAGCAAGTATGTTTATACTAATAACAGAGAAAAGGGAAAAAGCCACTGAAATTTTTTGAAAAACTTTTCTAAATAATTATCTAACGTGATACCTACAATTCATTCCACTCCCATGTATCCAGATTAAGATAGTGAAGATCATTCATTCTAGCATCCTACAAAAGGATAAATAGTTACCATTTTGAATAATTCAAAGCAAGTCATTGAAACTGTTTATATATAATACTCACCCGGTATCTGCCTCCGAACACAAAGCCCTTGTTTCCAACTGTTGCGCAGGCGTGGGCAGCGCGAGGTGAAGGTGCTTTACCCTATTAGTTATCAAAGCAATTTAATAAACAAGTGAATGTTTTATAAATACCAGTCTTCAGAACTCGAATATACTCCTATAATAATGGCTAATATGTCTCAGGTTCTATGTTAGGTGCTTTGTAGTATTAAGTCATTTAATCCTCATATGTTCTACGGTTACAATGGTTTGGGCTGAGGATATTTGAATGACACACCACTTTCCACATAAAAATATGCAGACACTTGAGCCAAGACCGGTTTGGCTCAACGGATAGAGCGTCGGCTTGGGGACTGAAGGGTCCCAGGTTCGATTCCGGTCAAGGGCATGTACCTTGGTTGCGGGCATATCCCCGTAGGGGGTGTGCAGGAGGCAGCTGATTGATGACTCTCTCATCGATATTTCTAACTCTCTATCTCTCTCCTTCCCTCTCTGTACAAAATCAATAAAATATATTTTTTAAAAAAATATGCAGACACTTGAGCTTTCAAGCTGAAGTATAGACTTTTAGTCAATAGCAGTACTAACGCAGACTAGTAAAACTGGGAATTTTAATTTTATATTTTGAGGTATATTACTAAATGGGCTAGTTAATAAATAGAATGCTTGTTTTATTTTTATCTAAAAGCTAGCATATTATATGACATCTTTATCAGAGGAGAAAGAAACTGATATTTGAGGAAGCTAGGTCATTTATTACAAACAATAGCACTCAGTATCTATTAGATATTAGATGCTGGGTTGGTCTACACATTCATTAAACTTTTCTGAGTTCTAGAGTGCTTGAAGAATTATGAAAGCCATGGCCCTTCTCCAGAAAATGAGAAAAATGAACTATCAATATTAACACCACCTCCCAACTTCCCTTCTCTAAATAGTCATGCTTTAATAACCCATTCTTCTTCAGGACTCACAGTAGTTATAGGCTGACTCCAGATAAATGTTTCAGTGTCTAAAATATGTACATGATCATTCCATCCTCTTGGGTGACTTGAATTCTACAGAAAATAGTTATTTTACAGTTACTTTACAAAAAGTGTTTGCAAAATTATATAGCCTTGGTCTGATTTATTAATTATTAATAAAATGAACAAAACTACTACCAAACAAAATGTATTATTTCAACATACTAAATAGGCCATTTGCAAATATGAAACTTCACTTACCCAAAAAGATGTTTCATCAAATTCAAAAGTTCCCAATACTTTATCTTCAGGTAAATATCCATACCCTCCAAAAAATATTAACCTATTATATTAAAACAAAAACTTAAGACATTAAAATTCAGAAAGGCAAATCAGCATACAAGAGATTTTTCTTCTTTGTTACATGAATTGCAAAGGCACAATAATACTCATAATAATGGCTATATGTCTCAGTGCTATGTTAAGTGCTTTGATGTATTAATTCATTTAATCCTCATTCATTCTATAGTTACAAAGGTTATTAGCTAAAGATACTTGAAGGCAAACCATTTTCCACATATTAATAAAACACCAAACCTGTAGTGCTGCTGCTAACTCACCTGTTTTTATATACCCAGACACCAAGTTTATCCTTTGACGACGGAGGAATTCCTTGGCAATCAATTCTTTCCCATTGTAATACTCTGTCTGTAGACCTTAAATCCAGCATGTAGAACTGTCAAAAGCAATGGTTTCAGTTAGATTTAGTTATGTGAAAGAAATTCAACCTTGGTATTTTATTTTGCTGTGGTTTATAATAAAAATATCATCTAATTCAATATACTACATACATGACTACAAACTGTTCTTGAGTCCAGAATATAAGTTACCTAAGTCACTAGGCATCCTGTTTAGTTCAGCTGATTTTTTTTCCCCACAGCCACCCTTTTTTGGTGAAGGAATAGAATATATTGGTTTACATTCTGTGCTTTAGATAGGCACTTAAAGTTTACTGATCTAATTTATGGATATCAGGATGGTATTATAAAAATAAAAAAAATCAGACTTAGCAATTGCACTCCAAATACAACTTAACAAACACGTCTTATGTGCCTAGTTAACTCCAGGAGCTAAGGACAAATCTTAAAAGATTAAGCACCTTTAAGGGTTCACATCCAGATGCTTGAATAAATTTGACATATATATATATGGGTTTTTTTTACTTATGACTCCCAAGTCACTTGATATACTAGTGACTAGAATTTCTCTGAAAACCAAGCTCTGTTTCCCAAGCTTCCGCATGTTGTGCAAAATCATTTTTCTCCTTGGCCCAAAAAAGAACATGGTTCAACTACAGCCTATAGCTGTGCTTCAGAACCCTTTCTTGAAACAAAATCTTTAAGTAAAAGCCTAAAATATAAAAATAGAAATGGTGCTAGTCCTGTTAAAATGGTAGTGAAGGGGTGGTCTGGAGCCACCTAATACCATCATGCTCTCTCACAGATGCTCAGGAAGTCCTAGGAGTAGTCTGAAACCATCTCAGCCATATGCTCCATCTATATTTCCATGAACAATGTATTTGTATGCACTTCTGCATCTTGATACCTATATTTTGGCTCCCCCTTCAAATTGTATTATCCAATTCAAGCATCACTTTCCTACCAAACACAATGTCAAGGAGTCTTTTTCAAATTCAAAAATATTTACTGAACTATGTTACAACAGCCAGGCTCTGTGTATCTCTGTGCCATATGCTACTGAAATCATTTACCTGTTATATGTGTCCCTTTTAGAATGAGCTCCAGGAGGCGTAGACTCATTCATCTCTGAGTCTTCATGTTTAACCAAGTGCTCAACATAGAAGGTGCCCACAAATGAATTTATGACTCTACCTAGATCATATGCACCTTTCTGATTTCATCTGTCTAGTGGCCTGAGAGAACAACCGATCATCTTTTTCCTATTTGGGTAAAACATGAACAAAGTCTGAATGACAGTATCTCATGGGGCCAGATCATAGAAATGTTAGTATATACTATTTTGTCAGTGTAATTTATCCTTATGGCTTTCTGAGTGGTGGCCTGTTAATTTTACCCTGTCCCCCTTGATTACCTCGTTTTCATCTAATTTACTGTTATTCATCTAACATTCCAGGTTGCTAAAAGAACAAGTAGCTGCAAAGAACACAAAGAAAAACAACATAGGAAGTTACTGCACACAAGTTACCCACCAAGTTGATTTTATAAAAGGCCTAGATAAATACAAACTGGTAGGCAAAATACTGAAATGCACATTTATACCACAATCAAGTACATGTATTTTTTTAACTGGGACGGGAATAACTATGAGCTAACCATAGACGTCTAAAGTTGTCTAAAAAAAGAATAAAACTGCCTTGAACCGTAACCCTTAGAAACACTAACCTTATTCGTGTTGCCTCGAGAATGGTGTCCTCCAAACAAGTACAGCGCCCTGTCTACATACACAGCACAGCTTCCTGACATGGAGGGAGGAACATCACCTTCAGCGTTCATTTTTTTCCTGAGGGGAAAGCAGTGGAAATAAGCCTCCCAAAAGAGAAATGCAAAAATATTTTTCTATTTCTTCTACTTCTATTCCCACAATAAAGGGACTGACTAGATCGTGTCTAGGGTCTCATCTAGCTCTAAAGCCAATTCAAAGAAAGAGCTCTTTCCTCTCCATTCTACAGCTTTGCCAGCTGGTCCTGCAGAGGCAGAAGAGAGCTCCTAAAGCTGTCACATTACTCCACATGCACACCATGTTAGGTTTTTTAAACTAAATTGTTTGCTTTTTATTTACATGGCCAGAATGTGGTTGTTTTTTTGTTTTTGAGTGGGTCAGGCAAACAATGTCCCAGTCCTGACAGATTAATTCAGTAGGTGTTTCTTATTCGGTCACTGTTAGCCATTCAAATGAATCTGATTCAGACTGTATGTGATACTCCTGACACTTGTGTAGTCCTTATTGTGGGTCAGGCACTGCTCCCAGAGCTTTACATACTTTGACACATTCTGAATCTAAAAATGAAGCTGAATCAAACTAATTAAGAAATAGAAGATTTAGAATATTAATAAGTCACTCAAGGTCTTCTCACAAATCATTTTATAATAAGGTTTTATGTTTTAATAGGCATATTTTTTTAATTATGGGGCTGATTTATTATTTTTATTATTCATTTATATTTTATCCCTCACATAAGGATATTTTTCCATTGACTTTTTAGAGAGCAGGAAAGACAGAAATATCGATGTGAGAGAAACACACCAATTGGCTGCCTCTTGCATGAGCCCACCAGGCTCCTGCAACCGAGGTACAGGCCCTTGACTGGAATTGAACCTGGGAGGCTGTATCCCTGAGCCAAACCGGCTAGGGCAGTGGTTGACAAACACATTAGTCTACAGAGCCAAATATCAACAATACGACTATTGAAATTTGAGAGCCAAATTTTTAAACTTAAACTTATAACGCCACTTCTTCAAAATAGACTCACCCAGGAGGTGGTATTTTGTGGAAGAGCCACACTCAAGGGGCCAAAGAGCCACATGTGGCTTGCATGCCGCAGTTTGCTGACCACAGACAGGGCTAGGGCTGTGGGGCTGATTTTTAAAAATATGTAGAATTTCATATTACAGGGATACTATTACATATTTCCAATAATCTAGGAAAAGATGGGCAGACAGCTCAGAAAACACTGATTAACTATATACAGAAGAATCCTAACATGCTTAGTTTAACTGTTAAATCAAGTGGGGGTACTATTCCAGTTCTGAGATCTATAATACGTAATATATGTGAAGCACAAAGTTCTCACAATGCAAACCGAGGAGGACTACTTCATAAATTGAGAATCAGCATTAACCTTGCCCAGACATACCCGAGTCCCACTGGAGCCATGAGATTAGCAAAAGACCCGTTCAGCATAGCCCCCAGGAAGGCAAATTCAGGTTGGTTTTGTTTTTTAAACAAAACACACTGTTTCATGGAGATTTTAATGTTAGAACTCATTAAAATAAAATACCATCTCTATTTCTAGAACATACAATCTATAATTTTTTGCATTCAAGATGCCACATAACAAAAGATATAATCTTGAAAAATACCTATTTGGAATTTTCGTTATATTTCCATTCCAGGATCTGAAGCCTCTGCCTCTATTTTAATAACACTATGATACTTTATAGAGCCCTGAATAGAAATTTCTCCAAGGATCATAAAAAAAATCTAGTAATTACTGATATTTCTGAAGAGACGCTAAAGAGTAAGCTTAGCAGCTAGACCAAACTAGCACAACACTTTTCAGAACATATAGCTTAGCATCTTTAATTCATTAGAATGGGCTTTACGGAGTTTCTTTTTGTTTGCAACATTATTTGAATGTTTTAGTCCCTCTTATAAATCCAATTACCATCTTCCAGTTTCCATGTTATAGATCCATAGTTCTTCTCTAGGCAGATAAAAGTCATATAATCCTCTGACTTGGTTACTCTAAGAAACAAAGAGAGAAAATTGAAAATATAAAAAAATAATTAGTATTCTAAAGAGGCACTATTGTATGTTTTTTCATATCTGTCTTACTTGAGATACTGAGAATTATGGAAAATTAAATAGGTCCAACAAATCCATCAAATGCACAGTCCTCCCTACTCCATGCTACATTCTCCAAGTAATGCTTACTTGGAGGACAGCTCTTATTTTCAGAGCAGCTATCCTGGTGTGGGTGCAGTGGTGCAGGAAGTTAAGAGGTCACCAGGAAATCTCCAAGGCTACTTGATCCTGAACAGACCAGGCACCAAATGTCAGTTGTATGGCTTCAGAAGGGTGTCCCTGTGCAGTGGTCGGCAGACCAAAGAAAAGTCTACCTTTAACTCTTCACCCACACTGGCACGTGATGTACAGGTTTCTAGCCATTGTTTCCTTTAACCCATTCATTCTCTACCAAAATGTAGAGAGGGTAGCACTGCAAATACGCAAATATTAAGTCTTTATGCAATATTTCAAGTTCCTTGTTCTGCTCCATTTCCTTCAGGTAATAATTTTTAACAGACTGTGTGTACCACATACTCTTAGAGCTAGATGAGTGCTTCCCATGGATTGCTCAACACTCAACCACCCTTAAAGGTAGTTGGTATTCAAGAAAACAGGTTTATAGAGATGATTTGTAGAAGGTGCCTGGCATGTAAGAGTAGAGCCAGGATTTCAGCCTTCTTTCCCTGAATTTGCCACTTCAGCTGCTGTCAGCGAGCCTTGGAGCCTTGCTGGCCACTTTCTGAGCAATGTCCACAGTCAACAACTGCAGTTCACTGAGAAGGGGTATCCCAGACCAATAAGCTTGAGTGTTATACGGAAACAGAGCACCCGGCAATGTGAACCTTTTGCTTTTCACTCCACCACTTGCAAAGGGAAAGGCTAGGAGACAGGAGGCTGACCCTGAGGAGATGAGTCTGGCATAGAGGGAAACTGACCACTGTGTGAGAAGCTAGGGTTTGCTGCCTTCAGAACAATCTCCAAGGCTGCCTGTGCCTACCCTCAGGGCTCTGGCCAATGTGTGGATAGCCTGTCTTTAACCACCCACCTAGTTCACTGCTATGCCTCACCCTGCCTCAGCCCTCAGCATCCAGTACCTCAAAAACAGCATCAGAAATATTCCACCCTGACTCCCACACACCTCTCCACGCCCAAAGAAAGTCCCATTCCCTCAATGCTGATTTTTACAGACAGAATTTTAAAGTAGTTTAGACTGAAGTATGATTGACCAACAGGTTTACTTTTCTCCTTGGGAGTTACTTACATTTCAATAAGAGTCTCCACATACCTACCCCTTCCTCTTAACAAGCACTCTCTAAACACCTACTCATTAGAGGCTGAGGAAAACACAAATTAGATTGGCAAAAAATAAAAATAAAAATAAATACTTTTGTTGTTAAACTACACAAAATAATCAGGACAGCCTCAGCACTTTATTACATCTATCCTTTGAGCCATCTCAAAATCTGTCAACTATGATCAGATTAACTATCATGAACTGAAATTTACTGCCAGTCACAAAACAAGTCATCAAAGGAACAGGTGTAGGGGACTAGATTTCAAACAAATGGGGGAGGGAGGAGATCATTTTTCACCCAATATGTTTTCATTGATTTTTAGAGAGCGGAAGGGAGAGGAAAATATCCATGTAGGAGAGACACGGATTGGTGTTCTCCCATAAGCACCCCAACCAGGTACCGAACCTGAAACCTGGGCAAGTGCCATGACCTGGAATGGAACCAGCGACTTTCGGTGCAGGAGAGGATGCCCATCCGAGCCGCACGCGCCGGGGCCAAGACAAAAAAGGGGCTAAAAAGAATGCCTTTGGGAGGGACGCACTGGGGCCAACTGAACAGACGGCCCGGTTCTGGAACGTGGACTGTTACAGGGAGGTCCTAAGAGCAAAGAGGAGACCCAGCGGGCAGGCTGAGGTGGGAGGAGTCCCCAGGAGAGGTGGAAAGAAACGCCACCGGCAACTAATTACATTGTTTATCCTCAGGATCAAGCAGCTGTTGATACTTTTGGTTACTGGTGGAGCGTTTCATTAATTTTCGTAATATTTTTTTTCTGAAAAATTCCAGCCCGGTCTCAGCGGGAACCCACCCTGAAAAGCTGGAACAGGGAGCGGCCCGCACAGGTGCGGGGCCGGGGCCGGGGCGCTGCTCCTCGCCGGCCCCGGGGGCCTGCCCCCAGCCCCCGCGTCAGCGGCCAGCGGGGCCGGGGCCGGGCCTGGGTTCCGCGCGCCGCCGGCTCTCACCCCCAGCTTTTACACGGAAACACGGCCAGGCCCCGGCGCCCCTCCCCCAACGCCCCGGGTCTACAGCCTCGCCCGCGGGCGCGGGGGGCGCGGGGGGCGCGGGCGGCGCGACCACAGCCCGGAGCCCGGAGCCCGGGGACCCGGGTTCGGAGTCCCGCCCGCGGGCCTGACGCGGGGCGGGGGCGCGGAGCCGGGCGCGGGCCCACTGACCTTGTAGCCGCCCCAGACGAACATGCGGCGCCCGTCGCCCACGGCTACGTGGCCGCTGCGCTCGGCGGGGCAGGCGAGCTCCGCGGCCTCGCAGCCCTCGTGGGCCGGGCCCGGCGAGCCCTCCGGGTCGTCGTTGCCATCAGCCATCTTGAGGCTGCACGGCGCTCACCAACAGCCCGGCTCCGCGGCGAGCGGACGGACAAAGGAGCGGGAGCAGCAGGAGCCGCGGCCACGGGGACAGCGCAGAGGCCGCCCCTCGCCGCTGCGCTCCGTCCGCGGCCCCTCGGAGGCGGCCCTGGCAGCGGGGCGCGGGCGGGGCGGCGGGAGGGGCGCCGGGCCGGGGCCGCCTCCCGGGGCGCCCCGCCCCCGCCCGCCGCCGCCGGGCCCCGCCGCCGCCGCCGCCGCCCGGGGCCCCAGCTGGGCCGGGAGCCCGCGCGCCGAGCGCTCGGCCGCGGCTTCTCCCACTTTTCCCCGCGGAGCCCCCCGAGGCCGCAGCCTGAGGGGCGAGTGGCCCAGCCTCTCCAGGGCCCCGACCGGACGGGCCCTCAGGCCCACAGGCCACGCGCCGTCCACTGCGCCAACTGGCTTGGGCTTCAGCAGAGATCTTGATTTAGTTTGAAAAATCACTCGAAAAGCGTTTCAAAACCCATCACTGCCCAGCCATTCAGGCGAATCAAGTAGACACACACTGACACGGTTTTATATTTAAATTAGGTCGAGCAATTTTACATTGTAATTAGGTCAAGAGCAAGTCCAGAATTATTATAATCTAAACTAAAATAGGACTGGACTAGAATACATCTAAATCCCTTATCTAACGGTGCCTCTGTGTTTGGATGAGTTTGGTGAGGGGAATGTACTTGATTATCATCTTTTCCCATCTTCCCTAGAAGGAATCACTAGAAGGAATACTCTGTACAGCCAAGGGCTTAACTTTCATAGCCCGAAACCCCTTCCCTAGCCACTGCCTGTCGATAACGACTTAGCAGAATTTGTGATAGCAGTGCCTAAAGGCAAATATATAGGGTGTCCCCCCAAAATGTATACACACTTTGAATAATTATTTCCAATATTTCTTTCTTTGAAAATTCCAATAGAATGACATTAATACATTGGGAAAACAGGCACCAAAAAAGGTGCACAGGGGCATTATTTGTTTCCTAAAATTGCTGCTTTTCCTTTAAAAATGTTCTAAAAATCAAAATTCTAAGTTGTCAGTATATACTACCCTGAAAAGTATGCTTAGTGTGCTTATTTCCTCTCTCTCTCACACACACACATACAAATATTGTATTGGTGAGAACATCACTTCATGGCAGCATGAAGTTCTAAAGAATATTTTAGGCTTCTATCAAAAGGTTAATATTTTTTTTAATGTGCAAAAAAAATATTTTGAAAAAATGTACACTAGTTTTGATGTGCTATTTACTATATCATACTAAAAAAGATAATACTAAAAAGAACCCTTCTTGACAACTGGAAGAATATCCTGAGAGACATCATAAAGATGGCCAGAAATTCTTTTTCCTTGAGAACCAGACTGGAGACCTATTTTATGAATCACCAGAACAAAACCTTTTGGAATCTTCTTTCTTGCTTGGTTGTTTTTTTTTTTCTTTCTTTCTTTCTTTCTTTCTTTCTTTCTTTCTTTCTTTTTTCTTTTTGTTTTGTTTTGTTTTGTTGTTGTTGTTGTTAGAACAACTCAGTAAAATAAAATCCCCATTTATTGTTGGACAACATTGTTTCACACATAGATCAAACAGGCCAAAATAAATAAATAAACAGCAATTTCATAAACAAAAAAAAAAGGGGGGGAAAGAAACCTTTTTATCTTTGGCCTTTTATTTATTTATTTATCTTTTAATATATTTTATTGATTTTTTACGAGAGGAAAGGAGAGGGATAGTTAGAAACATCGATGAGAGAGAATCATCTATCAGCTGCCTCTTGCACACCTCCCACTGGGGATGTGCCCACAATCCAGGCACATGCCCTTGACCGGAATCGAACCCGGGACTTTTCAGTCCACAGGCCGACGCTCTATCCACTGAGCTAAACCAGTTTCGGCTATCTTTGGCCTTTTAAACCATCTCATACAAACCAATTACTTATGTACAGATAAATACATACACAAAAAGCTACTGGCATGCTCAGAATAAGATTTTTTTGTGGTTGTTTTTGCTTTTTTACAAGTTTTTTTAAAATATATTTTATTGATTTTTCACAGATAGGAAGAGAGAGATAGAGAGTTAGAAACATCGATGAGAGAGAATCATCGATCAGCTGCCTCTTGCACACCTCCTAATGGGGATGTGCCCGCAACCAAGGTACATGCCCTTGCCCGGAATTGAACCCGGGACCTTTCAGTCCGCAGGCCGACAATCTATCCACTGAGCCAAACCGGTCCCGGCTACAAGGTTTTTTTTTCTCCTTTGAGATTATAATGAGCACAGTCATACCACAAGTAAAGTCAGAAGTAGGACAGAGAATGCTCCCAAGGCTGGTTTGGTCATCCCAAAATCATTAGAAATGGCTGGCCCCAACAATACGTACAAAAATATAAAATGTAAATAAAAAATACAAATTTCCCTTTTTAAAAGTACTTTTAAGAAAAAAAGCAAGGCCTTGGAGGTTTTGGTTCTTTTCTCCTCCCCTGTTGCAAACTCACCTGTGGTTTTGGTTGGGTGTTGACGGGTGCGTGTCATCTGCAGGTGGCGCTGGAAGCTGAGTGACCGCGTTAGAGTCTGAGAGGGGAAGTGGAGGGTGAATAGGTCACAGAGGCCTTTTAACTTTTCCTGTTTTTGCTCATCCTCATCGGTCTTCTCCTTCTTGGTGTCAACATCGTCATCCTTATCATCTGCAGCTGCCCATTTGCCTATAGCTGCCTCAGCCTCATCTTCATCTTCATCCTCTTCCTCACCATCACCTGCCTCCTCCTCTTCCTCCCTCCTTCTTCATCTACCTCATGGTCAGCCTCCTGCACCCCATTTTCCACATTAGCGTTCCCATTCACAGGTGCATTGTTTCCGTTCTCTGCCTCCTCCACACTTCCTTCTTCTCCTTTAAGTCCTCGGTGGTGATCTCAGAGCTGGTGTCCAGGGCAGTGTCGCCATGGTGGAGCACACCGGTGATCCTGTGCAGCAGATTTTTTTTTTTTTAAAGCGAAAGTTGGAGGAGCCTGGAGAAGCTGCAGTGGCAGAGGTGGTTGCAGCGAGCGAATCATTTTTATGTTACAGAATTTACCAGGTGACTGGAAAATATACAGGAGTACTTGGAGATACAGGAGAAACCCATTTATTTCCAGATGTTTCACATGTACTAGTACCGTGACTCAAGGGAGCTGGTTTCCAAATCCTGAGCAAGCCAATATGGAGGAAGCTTTCTCTTTATACCCTTTGGTTTCTTTGTCCCCCAAATATGGATCAGACTCCCGGACCTTTCAGGGGCTTTGCAAAAAGCCCCATGTGTTGGGTTGGGGGCCGTGAGACCACACCTACAGGCCTGGCCTGGTGCCAGCGCTGATAACCCTCTCCGGGCGGGCATTGTGTATTGTTCATGGTTTAGGACCTCTGTAAAATGGGAGTGCTTAGGTAAACAGGTTTTGCAAGACCAGATTGTGAAGAAAGGGGCAGTGACTTAATTATAGGCTATCAAGAATGTACATTAGGTGACTGACACAGATTCAGATTGCTAGGCCCCCCAAAATGTCTTATTTTCCCCATCTGGTGGAGCAGAGAGGGAGCCACCGGAACAATGCAAAGGCTTCAAACCAGTGGGCTAGAATCTTCTTTCAAACTGAGAGCCCATAGGGAGAGTTCAGAGCTAATGTGATGAAGCTGAAGCTGTCATTGCCTTGGGCTCCTATATACTGTGGAGGTCAACAACACAAAATTGACAGTATGCCATCAGCTTTTGAAAAGTGAGGAATGAATACTGCTTGGCTATGAAACTTCAAAACTGGCTTTGCCAACTCCCAGACCCTCTATATCTGCCAATAGCAGAACCTTGTTTTAAGGCAAGTTATAGAGACAAGTGAAAGATCAGAATTCCCTGCCACTCCAACTATGGGCCTACCTCAAGACATATACTTTTTGAAGTAGTACATTATATTAGATCAAATAAGTATAGCACTATTTATGTGCCACAGATAATATATAGATTTTTATTCAAATATCTTTTATTTATTTTTAAATATGTTTTATTGATTTTTTCTGAGCCCCTCCCTCCCTCACATACATACCCTCCCTCCCCAGAGTTTTATGTCCATTGGTTGTACTTATATGCATGTATACAAGTCCTTCTGTTGATCTATTATCTCCCCCAGATCTTCCTCCCTTCCCCACTGTAATTTGACAATCTGCGTGTTGCTTTACTGTCTCTATATCTGTCTCTTGGTTCATCAGTTTATAATGTTCTTTTCATCCACAAATGAGTGAGGTCATGTGGTGTTTCTCTTTCATTGATTGGCTTTTTTCACACAGCATGATGTTCTCCAATTCCATCCAGGTTGCTGCAAATGATGAGAATTCCTTCTTTTTTATGGCAGCATAGTATTCCAGTGTGTAGATGTACCATGGTTTTTGGATCCAATCATCTGCTGACGGGCACCTAGGCTGTTTCCAAATTCTGGCTATCGTAGATTGTGCTGTTATGAACATAGGGGTGCATATATCCTTTCTGATTGGTGTTTCTAGTTTCTTGGAATGTATTCCTAGAAGTGGGATTACTGGGTCAAATGGGAGTTCCATTCTGAGTTTTTTGAGGAAACTCCACACTGTTCTCCACAGTGGTTGCACCAGTCTGCATTCCCACCAGCAGTGCACGAGGGTTCCTTTTTCTCCGCAACCTCGCCAACACTTGTCGTTTGTTGATTTGTTGATGTTGGCCATTCTGACAGGAGTGAGATGGTACCGCATTGTTGTTTTGATTTGCACCTCTCGGACAATTAGTGACTTTGAGCATGTTTTCATGTGCCTTTTGGCCTTCCTTCTGTCTTCTTTTGAAAATATTCTATTTAGGTCCATTGCCCATTTTTTAATTGGATCATTCATCTTCCTTTTGTTTAGTTGTATAAGCTGTCTGTAAATGTTGGAGATTAAAACTTTATCAGTGGTATTATTTGCAAATATATTCTCCCACACCGTGGG